ATCATAGTCTGTTCCTGTCCGGATATTGCACAAGCTATCAGTGTTGTTAGTCGATATATGCACAATCAAGGTAAGGATCATTGGACAACTATACAAAATGGATATTAAGGTATTCACAAGGAACAAGGGATGTTGGTTTACGTTTTCAAAAACAAGAATGTGGAATGAATTTTGTTGTTGTTAGATATGTTGATTCTAACTTTGCTAGTGACTTGGATAAAAATAGATCTACTGCAGGGTTCTATTTACTATGGCACAAGGACCAATTAGTTGGAGATCTACATTGCAAACTACAATTATGTTATCCACCACAAAGGCATAATATATGGTTGCCATATAAGCTATTATAGAGGCTTTATAACTGCAAGGGCTCATTTTAGAACTGGATATTGCTTAAAATCAGGTGGAACTTCATTGTGATAGTCAAAGTGCAATAAATTTGGCTAAACACCAAATTCATCATTCTAGAACCAAACATATAAATGTAAAATTTCATTTTATGAGACAGTTTCTAGATAGGAAGATGAATGGTTTGAAGAAAGTTCCAACCAAAGATAACCCATTAGATATGTTGACAAAAGTGGTTGTTGTAGCAAAGTTTCAGCACTGTCAAAACTTGGCTAATACTATACCAATTTGATTGATTGGTTTAGCAGCAAGAAGTTTGTGTTTTTGGTCATGTTGGATTGTTGAAATGTGAATATTGTTGTTTAGAGTAAAACTTTAGCTTACTATGTTGGTCAGTTTTAGATTATTGTGTTGGTTCACACATTGTTGAGTTTAAGCTTGCAGATTTGGTTCACATATGGTTTGTAGAAATCTGACAAAGGTAGAGTGTTATATTATGGTTCAATTTATTAATTTAGCTATTATTATTTAATAGCAGTTAATGATTGTTAATAAATAGCATTGCAGTAGTAATTGCTCAACAGTTAAAAAATGAAGAAAAAAGAGTGTGATGGTTTGTTCAATATGGTGTGAGGGCATAGATTTTGTAACACTGTGAATCTTTGTAATCTCCACATTTGATAGTGAAACTTGTCTTTTCTGCTCTGTAGATGTAGGTTATGGCCGAACCATGTAAATCTCTGTGTTCATTCTATTTTTGCTTTCTGATTTATATCACATCACCAGTTAGCGTGTTGCTGGAAATCTGTATGTTAACCAGATTGGTTACTGATGTGTTCTCTGTTATTTCAGAGGTAGTTTTTCTTTGGTAAACTTCGTTTTACAACATAGAGCAAACAACTAGGTATCTTAGAGTAGCTATTGTGTGAGTTTATATATCCAAGTCGGGTTCTCATTATCTCTTCGTGTTCCATGTTGTATTGTGCATATATAGTTGCTTGCTCTTCATTATCTCTTCCAAATTTCACTTCTTTTCTTTTCTTTTTGGTATTTTGTGGGTTCCTTAAGATTCCAAAAGTATTATAAAAACATATTTCTTTCTCATATCTTCATAAAAACGATATTTCTACCATTTGGGTAGAAGAAATATCCACATATATTTACCCTTCCAAGACCATACTCCATATGGAATTTACTGGGTTCATTTGGTTTGGTTTGATTATATATCTAACTCTTCCGCCAACAATATATATTGATAATTCTCCACTGCATGGTTTTTTTTATTTAACAGGGTGTTTGTTTTTCTCTTAATTCACTTAACCATTAAGCTTCTTTTGTTTATGACTTTATACGTCTTATCTTAATTCAGTCATCCTACCTTGACTAATGTATTTCACATTCAACCTTTTCTTTTCCACCTATATATGCCATCCTCTCAAACAAACCCTCCTCATGGGACCTCCTCCGATGGTTGCATCCCTATTGCTTGATACCATTGAACGTTGTTATATAGGGGGTGGAGATAGTATACACACCGGATAGTCACTTGTATCATCTAAGTTCGTTATTCTAATACAAAAATTCGTCACTTACAATCCTTGGGTATCACGATTTTCATATTTGGATAATCCAAATGAAAACTCTCATATCAAAGGCTGTATGTCATTTTCATTATGGACATTTATTTTTGGGGCAAAGGGAATAAACGTAACTGCACCAGGGTTATAACCTCTACGAATTTTCATTGTGTGGTTTTATTACCTATAGTTGTAGATTTTCAAAATACCAAGTTTATTGATCATATAAATTATATGGAATCAGTGTTGATAGATATGATATTGTTTATCATAAGGATTTGTATTGATTAGTTTATTCCTTAAGGATTTGTATTGGTTATCATAAGCAAGTTTTTGGGATTTTTGATTTAAACCTCATCTCGTTTAATTAATCGATTCTTGCTTTTTTGACAAATTCGTCGGATGCTTTTGTTTTTGATCGTTTTGTGGGGAATTCAAGGACTTCTTGGCCTAGATGCCAATTAACACATGCAAAATATGCTTACTTAGTTGTGTCCATATGGAGATTACTTTTTGGGTCTAAATTTATTATATTCGAGCAATAATTGATCCTACGTTTGTAAGGGTGAAAAGTCCAAAAAGAATAATAAACTTTCGCATTTTGAATGATCAAGTCTTTAAACTTTTTTTTAAATAAATAAACCATTAAAGTTTCTCATTTTAAATGATTAAGTCTTTGTATATTTTTTGAATAAATAAACTATTAAACTTTTAAAAACTGGTTATTTACACATATTTAACCTAAAAAAGTTAACATGTAGTCGGTCAAACATCATTCCATCAGAAAAATAATTACAGTTAAATATACACATATAAGCAAATTAACATATACGTATAACTAGTGGCATATATAACAAGGGACAATCAATGCGTTCCAAGTCCTACGAGCTTCACAATAGTATTTATTTCAAGGTCGTTGGAGTGTAATTAAGGTGTAGGAAAAATCATAAACAACAAACACAATGTTTCTTCCACAATGCTTGCAACTCGTACGGTTCCAAAGCATCGTCTCGCTTCAGAGAAACACTCAACGCAATGCTCGAGAACTCAAGGTCCAAAAATTAAGAGTCAAGTACACAGATGACCACCATCTTGCATAATCAGTCATAATTCTACAAGCGACATCAATTCCAAGCTTTGCTAAACTTATAAGCAAAGTTTCAAAACTACGGTTGCATGGTTTTGTTAACGAAATACTCAATTCTTTACATTTGGTCTTTTATTTTTAACCGATTTAAAAAAAATCTCGAGCTTTTACGATCCCTATCCAAAATGGTCCAATCAAACTCGACTAAAATAGACTACTATACAACCAAACAATCAAACTTCATGTGCCCATCCTAAGCACAAGTCACACTCATCTCATGAATTGAGGCCACCTACACAACTTAATTAATTAGGCCAATAAATGAAAATGGAAAACCCAAAATCATTTAAAATGGCAGAATAATTTGGATGTTTTTTTTATTTATCATAAAGTATAATATTTAATTTTGAGTCTTTTTATTGCTTTCTATTATGGATGTTTTATGAAAAATAACTTTTATCTTGTTTAAAATTTTATGTTGAAATATATAAATTTAAATACCATAACATTAATTTAATATAAAAAACTTAACACATTATATAAAAGATAATTTACACTACAACAAAATTGGGTATATAGGACATCCCCAATCTTTAAGGCTTCTAATAGACCGCTTTATAGAACTTAATTTGTAGGACCAAAATATAAAGCGTCTTATCTAAAGGCGTTATAATATGTTTGTATGATGTTTTTGGGCATCTTAACAAGTTGTTAAGAACATTTTTAATACAAAGTGTCACATTAGCAACTTTATAGAACACTTTTAAGAAATCGTCCTATAAACTCAATTTTTTATAGGACACTTGTTTTTATAGGACATTTTTTCAAATAATGTTCTATGAAGTTGATAATGGAACGCTTTATATTAAAAGTGTCCTAAAAAACTTATTACGACATAAAAAAACCGTCATATAAACTTAATGCAACACCATTAGATATGACACTTTTTTTTGGTCCTATAAACTAAATCCTATAAAGAGGTCTATTAGGACGCTTAGAATTTGGAAGTGTTCTATAAACCTGATTTTGTTGTAACGTTAGACATCTCATTTTTTAAAAAACTGTGTGAAAATCGATATCTTTTATTTGTTATTTTTGTCCAAAGCCACATTTAAGGATCTGATTAAGCATGGGATGATGGGAAAATGTAATTCTCTCAATTTGAAAGTAATTAAATCAATGCAAACATAGACATCATGTGAAGATATAAAAGAAAGGGCCTTTTACAAAATTATATTTAATTATGTTTTAAATGTTACGAATATAAGACGTTAAAAGTAAGAATAAAAAAGGTACAGAGACAATTTTTTAAACTTGGATTTAAAATAAATATCAGTGTCAGTTGTGTTTCTTAAATACTTGTCCATATATATGTTGAATATGGGATGAGGTGATCAAAGAGCAAGACAAATATAGTCCAGTTAAGAAATAAACAAAAACTAATCAGATATAAAAAGTAAATATCATCTTGTACAATAAAAATATGAAGAAAATGACCACTCGTTACTTATACAACTCATTCTCATTTATGACATCTTGACATTCACGAGCTAAAAATTAAGAATCTTTATGGATATAGGAAATTTTTCATAGGGGTGTTTGAGATTGCTTATTTGAAACTGCTTATGTTTTTCTACAAAAACACTTATCAACTTATTATAAGTCAGAAGGGTGTAACTTCTTCAAAAACTTTTTATTACCGATTTGACACTGGTATAAGTTGTTTATAAAAACACTAAAAAGTGTTTATTACCGGTGTCATACCGGAATAAGTCAATAAATTGTTATTATAAACAATCCCAAATACCTGGTATATTTATTTTGGTGTTTAGGGTACATTTCTTTGGGGTTATAAGGTGCGATGTGTGCATCTAAACTTGTTACAGTTTTTTAAAATACTAACAAGCCTATTCTTCTCTCACTAAGACCTTTTCTTTCCTCTCCCTCTAACCCTCCCCAAACCCTATTTGAATTCCCCCAAAATCATTAAAAAGAATTTAGTGGATTAAACCCCATCTTTCGTGCTTCTTTGGTTTGCTGGTGGGCCTCTCCTCGCTCTTATCTTGTTTTGTCCGCTCTGTGTTCACATTTCTTGGTTCTTCTTGGCGTTACAGAACCGTTACCTTTCAAGATTTTCACTTTCCCAACAACAGACAATCACTCACACCAAGAAAGAAAGCATTTTCCATTTGGGTGTTTCTCAACTCGAGTACCCTCTTCTTTTTCTGGCTTCCAATTGGCATTTATTTCGCGAATTACTAGGTGGGTATTCGTAAAGAATTTGAAGGACATTCTGGGTACAAACTGGTTTCTTTTCTTGTGGTTGAGTTGATGAATTGATGTCGTTGGCCGTTGAAGCTGTTTCTAGTTCCACTAACATGGGGCTTGAGGAAAATAAGGAAGGAGAGAAGAGTGGATTTGAGGAGAATGGGGATGAAAAACAAAGCATGAAGAGAGTTGGGAGTGAATCCTCTTTTTATGAAACTGAGGATGAAGAAGAAGATAAACAGATTGAATTGGGTCCTCAGTGCACCCTCAAGGAACAATTTGAGAAGGATAAGGTACAAATCTTTCTCATTTCTCCACATTTTTCATTTACTCATGTTTAATCTTCAATTTTGATTGTTTTTAGGATGATGAGAGCCTGAGAAAATGGAAAGAACAGCTTCTTGGAAATGTTGATATTAATGATGTTGGAGGTACTGTTTCAATTTCTTCAGATTTTTGATGTATGAAAATGGGGAGTATATCATTGTTATCATTTAAGGTTTCTGCAAGATCAAACTGTAAAGATTTCAACCCTTTGAATCACAAGAATCAATCACTACAATACCACACTTGTTAGTTGTTTGATTTCAAAACTTTCAAGAACTTGAAGTATTTGTAAACTACAAATTAGTATCAGAAGTTGCATGATTAGCCATTTGAGGGTGTTCATTTCATTGTATTCATAGATTGTTGTTAGACCTTCCAGAAGGTTTTGATTGAAATATTAGTTTCATTTTCCTTACAGAATCACTGGAACCAGAAGTGAAGATCCTTATTCTTTCAATCCTGTCTCCAGGGAGATCTGAGATTGTTCTTCCTATACCCGAAGATGGAAAACCTAAAGGCCCATGGTTTACGTTAAAAGAAGGTTGTCGTTATAGCCTCAGATTCTCCTTTCAAGTCGGCCATAACATTGTTGCAGGTTTAAAGTACACCAATTACGTGTGGAAAACCGGTGTCAAGGGTGAGCCATGACAAAATCTTGAAACTTTAATAGAAAGAATGGAAATTTGCAACTGATGGTAGTGTTTCTTTTTCGTGTTTTCAGTGGATAGCACGAAACAGATGCTTGGTACTTTTAGTCCTCAGCAAGAAGCATACACTTATGACATGCCTGAAGAGACCACCCCTTCTGGATATTTTGCAAGAGGCTCTTACTCTGCTAAAACAAAGGTAATCAATCAAGATTCAAGATAAATCTGTCCAAGTTCTTAAATTTCAAATTTTGATCTCAAAGATTAAACTTCCCGAATCCAAAATTTATAGAAATGTAGTTAAAGATTCAACAACGACACTTGTATGGTTATGGTGTTTGTTAGAAAGCTTGTTGTGGGATCGAAACCGTGTCTAGAAGTTAAAAGATTTGCATATTTACCAGTTGTGGCCCAGCTATATGTGAATCATTGAACCAATATTCATCTTTATTAAAAGCAGCAAAGGGGGCCATCTTGAGCTTTATTTCTGCTTTATAAAGGAATCCATCATTTTGCTGGTCCATGAGTTGAGGGGTTAATGATACTGTTGGATAGCACATAAACAATATCATATTCCTTTATATAATTGTTGTTCTTTTTGTTGTTTTCAGTTTGTTGATGATGACAACAAATGTTACTTGGAGATCAACTATACGTTTGACATCCGGAAAGATTGGGCGAGCATTTAAATGTTGTAGAACTTTCGGCTTGAAATCTCTTTATTATAGTACCGAATCATAGTGTGGTGATATTGTTCGTAAGATTGGGTCGTAAGCTTAATCGAGTCTACCGGTGATGTCATACTTGCTCTGTGTAATCTGTTGTTTCATATAGAGTTGGTGATGGTTTGTGATCTCTAAATGCTAATGGTTTGTAGTTTTGGGCCTGTGTTTCTGGCCTAAACTTATGGACTTACTGTGCCTGTGATGATTTTGAATTATATAATTACATTTTTTGATTTATATGATTTCCATAATTTAAATGCGTCATGTTTGAGAGAAGAACGATTTACTTGTCGGTATCTTAGTCGAAGTGATGTTTAGGGTGGCCCAACCGGTTCCATGACCGACCCGACCTACTGACAATTGGCCCGACCTGCTTCTCTTTCGGGCTTATTTCCAGGTCTCGGTATCTCTACTTCTCTACTAGTGTACTATGATTAAACAATGAGCAGAGTTTCCATTCCATTTACTCATAACCACAGCAAGGAACCCATTTGTTTGACCTTAAAAAGTCAATACCGATATCTGGTTTCGAATTTTAAAAAGAATACGATAGGTTTACATATGCTAGAGCCAGTGAACCACGGATAGTTGTTGCTCGAACAACATAAATCAAACGGAGATCAATCGGGCAACACCCTCAAGTCCTTCAGAATTTACATATTTTGCGCCTAAAACAGCGAACCAATTCCTCAAGCATCTCGACGAATGACATTGGCCCATTATCAATCATATGATATCTTCACGTAGATCACAGTTTATGACCTGGATCACGGAAGTCGGGTGTTGACATCCATATTAGTCGTATTTAGCCGTCTCAACCTCTGCCCAAGTTCAGCCATCACCGCTGGTTCTTGCTTCTTCCTTTGCCTTGATATATTCGTTGTAGTCATGAAGCTGATCTTATCAAACGCAACCTGCTACACAAACGTTTGCTAAGTATTTCTCAAAAGCATGAAAGTGTTCATAAACTTGAGTCCTATAAAGCAGCTTATTAGAACATTCAGATATATTTGGCTTCCTATAGAAACGATTTTGTGTTCACGAATCTTGAAATCTTGGATATTGTTTAATGATTCATACCGTTAGTAACTCATCAGGATCGAATAGATGATGGGTTGTATTATGTATGATGTTGAGTACATCCCCGATATGGTGCATTGTGAGCAACTCTAATTCCTTCATCTGCAAATGCGATACTTGTGATAACGTCTAACTGCGAACGTCTTTAAAAGCAACAAAAGAAATAAACAACGAATAATCACCTTGAACATCGCGAGAGCCACATTAAACAAAACCTTTGCTCCTTCGTAAAATAGCACATCCCACACTCGCATGGTCGTCTGAACAAGTTTTGCATATATCAAGCTACTAGATACATACATAGAGAAAGGATCATGCGAGAAGTTAAACATTTTGCGAGAAAGCGAGAAGTTTCAATATCATATATGATTATACTCTTTTGGGTGTGTTTAATCATACTAGAAGGATACTCGCATAATATAGTGAGATATATCTTGATTTTAATGTTTCATTTATTATTTATCTATGTCGATATAATACGGTTTTTAGTGGTTTTTAGAAAACAACAATGTTTGATTTTTGAATAAAATATAAATTTAAATATATCATAAAATTTTGAAAAAGAAAATATATATCGATATTAGTATCAAATTTACTATTTAAAGTTTTGGTTTTTTGTGTAATTTCTTTAATTAATATTTTATTTGTAATTTAATGTAGGTTTAATAACGAAGTGATTTATTTTTGATTTAATAACATAATTTTTTATAAAGCAAATAATTAAGTATTTTTTAGAACTCAATAATTATTTTAATTATATTTTAGATTTTTTATATTTAAAATGAGATGTTTATCCTCAATTTGATTATGTTTATTTGCAGTTAGTTACACGAATTCAAACATGAAACTTTAATAAATTGTACTTACACACAATTTACTTGTATATTTGAATTTTAAGTAATATGCATCTATAAGCAGTATTTTATGCATAAAAAATAGTTTTTAAGAGTTTTTGTCAAATGCTTTATAATATAGTATAGATATGATTAAGCATCTATGTTTTGTCATTGCAACATGTGTTTAATCATATATGATTAAGCTTGTGTATCATGCTTGTAATCATATATGATACTGAAACTTCTCTCCTTCTTGCATACATATATATACACACACACACAGAGATCACTACAACAAAAACGTCTTTATAGGACATGAAATATGTCTAAATATTTTATAGGTTTTAAGTTTTATTGGACCAAACAATAGTGTGCTCTATATAAATGTGTCATAATAAACTGATAGAACTCTTTTGAGTGTCCTAACAAGTTTTTAGGACAACATTCAAATAAAATGTTCAATACGTCTTTTTGAACAAGCGTCCTATAAAAAACTGAGTTCATGACATTTTTCGGAAGTATCTAATAAAAAAATTAATATGATACTTTATTTCAAAAATGTCCTTAAAAACTTGTTAAGATGCCCAAATACGTCCAAAATTCTATTATGTCCTAACATTTTCTTTTTGTATGACAAGTATCCTATAAAAATATGTGTTTACAGAACATTTCTCAAAAGTAACCTATAAGAAAAGCTAATAGGACACTTTAGTTCAAAAGTATCCTAAAAAGTTGCTCAGATTCCCAAATACGCCCTAACATCCTATAGTCACACACTTATACATGACCCACAATTATTTAGTCCTACAGAGCAGTGTATTAGGACATTTAGCATCTTTGGCATATAAAGCCGATTTTGTTGTAACGGAAAGTGGGGTGTGATCTAACCTCTGAAGGCAGGCTCTTGGAAAAGAGGCAAAGAAACCACTCGGTGGCAACAAGCGAGACATCAAACTCTAAAGCTTCTAAATGGGCAGATACCCTGCACATTTTGTTTACAAAGATTAAAAAGCCGTCACTTGTTAAACATATACAAATCAAAGAACATGATCAAGAAATACCTCGGACATTCTTTAGCCAGCAAACCTTTGAAAACCCGTTGTTCAACATGGCACCCTGATAGGTTGTTTGTGTAGCAATCGTTAACTAATACATTTTCCAACAAAACTGCCAACATCCAAAAAGCCTCTTCTTCTGTTTTCATCACAAGCAACAACAATGCTGCAACGTAATTTAAACCCTGAACAAATGCGTATTCATCATTGCGAGCAATTATAATTCAAAACAATCACAAAAAAAAAAAGTTGCATTTAGAATTAAGAAAGGATGTTTAACAGAAAGAAGTACCTACCTGACAATAACCAACATCAGAATCACGAAAAGAGTACACTACAAGAACACGTCTCAGAGCAGCATGACCATCCGGTGTGTCCAACCATGGATGACCAGGAAAAGTTCGTGGCAGATCCTGCATAAATGCATATCCAAATAGAGCGTAAATCCAACCAGATTTTAGAAATAGTGAGGTATAGATCCTATATTTTCGTACTAACAGAAAAATGTTGGATCTAAATGAAGAAAAATCTAAATCACACAAAGAGTGTAACATCTAAAACAACCGTACAGAAATTTGTATTAGCATTGAAATCTTGTTAGTTACAAACTATAATCTGCTTGATCAACAAATCCGAAACTTATCAAAGAGTTTTTGGTGGGCAAAAGCAAAAGATCTAACTTTACCAAATATATCAAGAAACTCCCATTAAGAATGGCACAACAATCGATCTTAGTCCCAAGTCCCATCAAGATTATCACAGAGTTTTCGGTGGGCAAAGCAAAAGATCTTAACTTTAGGAAAAGACTGCCAGAGCCCAGAAAAGGCTTTAAGATCAGAGAATTGATCTTTATTAGCACTGAAATCTTGTTAGTTACAAACTATAATCTTCCAGAGCCCAGAAAGGCGAGAAGTGGCATCTATTAGCAGAAATCTTGTTAGTAACAAACTATAATCTGCTAGATCAACAAATCTGAAACTTATCAAATATACCAAGTAAACTCCCATCAAGATTGGCACAGAATTATCACCTATCCCTCATACATAAACTTCAATTAACAAAACTAATCTTACCAAAACTTGAGCCTAATCTTTACACCCAAAGCAATTTATAGTTCATAACCCACAATTAAACCATACAATTAAAATAAAATTTGAATGTGATATAAGATGAGAAAGAACTGAAAAAAAAAAAAACTCACATGATCTATCTGCTTGGTGGCAGGGGTGACCTTGCCCTCAACAGCTATTGTCAGATCCCTATAATAGCTATCAGGCACAGTTGATTTCTTCTTAGCTGCCCCAGATAAAGAAAACCAAACTTTAGGCCTCAAAACTGGAGGGATCCCTTTCCTAATTAGCCTCTTGAGGGTTATGGCATTCACTAAAACTGAAAACTTGAGGGATGATTTAAGGGCTGAAGATACATAGGTTTGGAGATACCAATTTGCACCTTTGTTAGCTTCAAGTGACCACCAAACCTTACCCTGTTGCCTCACCTTCTCTCTTACTTCATTCAATATGTTCACGTCATCAACATTGCCTTCCACGGTAAACCCATAAAGATCTTGAAACTTTACAACTATATTTGCCCTTCTTGCATGAATGCTTGGTCTCAAAATGGTCATTTGCGATTGGATTTCAAAGGACAAATCCCTCTTGCTTTGAGTTCCATACATCCTCTTTTTTGTGGGTAAACACCACAATAATCTTACAATCAAGACAAAGAAAAGATGGGTCTTTCAGTAAACTTTTTAAATATGGAACAAAACATTGAAATTTGCGAATCTTGATAAATCAATGAAACAGAAGGAAAAGAAACTGAAATCCGTATGCCCTTTCAAGAATGAGGGCGAATTGGGTTCTTGATATAATGAGAGAAGATTTAAAAAGCTCACATCGGCTGATGATTAAAAGATCTAAATTTCACAATATCTTTCCAAATGGGTGTTTGGGAAACTTGCATCTCAATTCTCAAATAACAAAAACCCCATAAAGAATTAAAGATCAGAAAATGGCAAACGTAAACACAAAATAAAGAAAAACCCCCCGAATTGAATCAAATAAACTGGCAAACAAAAGTGTTTTGCGACTAGAAATCGATTCTTGATCTTCTTGTTTTTGTTTGCAAATAAAGAATAGCTTGAAACTATGAAGATAGAGAAAGACAAATACTTAGCCTGATTAAGGGGAATCTCGTGAGGAAGTTTGAAGGAGAAAATAGACGAATGGGGAAAATATCCCTATATTTTTGGGGGTAATAAACGTTTAAATTTTGGTGGTCTGAATCAGAACATGCAATTAATCAGCAAATATTAGAACATATATTTCCTTTTCTTTTAACCCTAAAAATCTCTTCTTTTGTTTCCTCATTTTCAAGTATACTAGTTGTTTATCCGGACAATTCTATGAGAGCCATAAATTTTAACGATTTTAAAGTTTTAACGGTTTTATTAGAAAAGATTTAACGATGATATAAATTACACTTGGTCTTTACATATTAATATAATTTGAATAAATGAAAGTTATGATTCAAATTATAGTTTATCGATAAAAAAAATTGTATGAAAGTTCAAAATCCAATATATTTAAAATTCAACATATTTAAACGACTCCACAAATGTATTCGATTTACACCAAGAGCAAAGAATCAAGATATCGAGAATGAGACCGAGAGTTCTAGAGCAATTGACTGGGAGATGAATGAGAGAACTTAGTTTGAATCTCACATTGGGGGATGGAGAGAAGACATAGAGGTATGAAAGGGTGAATGCATGAATGAAATGTATCAAAAGTATCTTGGGAACATGAAAAGAATAAGTAATAACGTGTATTGGTAACTTATACTATATGTTATTTTAATTGTAGATTAAAAGATTTTAAGACTGAATGCATAAAGCAGTAGTACTTAATGTATTATGAGTTGTTTTTAAGACTTTATATATATAAATATATAGTAATTTGTACAATTTAAAAAATTAATAAATGAAACAGATAATAGCTTATCAATTCAGATCCATTAATAATTGTTTTGATTTTTGCAATCATATGACTTAAAAAATACGATTGACATGTGAGTTTTGGAGATGTACACTTGTTCAGCACTCAAAGTGGGTAATCTTCCATTCGAAAAAATGACTACTTGATGGGGGTGCATCATGCTATTCAATTCTTTTACATTTTTATTATTATTTTTTTAAATATTTATTATGATAAAAATAGAAAATAATAGCATAAATTCGATGGGTTGAATACCAAAATATTGGATTCACCAACCACGTTTTTTTAGACATTCATCACTTAAAAGTCAAGTATGAATTCAATTTGCAACAAAAATATTAAAGATAGTTGCTAACGTAAATAATACGTTTTGAATTTTTGAAATATATATAATATTTATATACAACAAATAAACTCATACACCCTCCTCACTTGCAATATATAGAGAGTCTAAAAAGTTGATAATTATAAAGTTCAAGCTTTAATGATGACAAAATATGCAACTTTTTTATTTTATCATTTTTTTAAATAAAAGGAAATCATTACTTTTATTTTTATTAAAAAAGAAAGAAAAAGCAACTAATCTTCGACGGTCCTGAGCTAGGCCGGATTGAGCCGATTTAGTCATCACTACTAATTAGAGATGGCCAAATCGGCCCGGGACCGCCGGGACCGAGACTGACAAAGGACCGGCTCGGGACCGGTTATGGGACCGAAAACGGGGACCAGTTGAAGTTTTTAGTAGTTTCGTGGGACCGGGACCGGTTATGAGACCGACTATGGACCGGTCCGAAAATTCAAATAATTTTATAAATAAATGTATTTTTAAATAATTTTATAAATAAATGTATTTTTAAATAATTTTATAATATATTTTTATAAGAAAATGTAATTTTAATTATATTAAAACGCATTTTTAAAGTGTATTTGAGTGACACAATTGTAAATTTTATAATTTATTAAAAATATATATCATTAAAAAATCCAAAAAGAAAAACTTATTTTTTAATGAAAGGACCGGTTGGGCCCGGGACCGGGACCGGCGGCCCATAACCGATTAAGAAGTACCTTGACCGGTCCTATCATTTTCGACCGGGACTGGGACCGAGACCGGTTACGACCGATTATGAGAAAGGTTGGGACCGGCCCGACCCGGCCCGGGACCGGTTTTTGGCCATCTCTACTACATCCAAATAGCTCATAACTGATAATACTATAATAGCATTATTGGATCAAAGCCCACAATCCAAATGGCCCAGAATTATTTTCACTACAAATTATTGTGCTAAAACACCTATATTATTTACATTTGGGTTAAATTGCATGTATTTGTACTTTGTAGAGGGCGGTAATTAAATAATTAAGAGTTATAAAAATGTTATAAATTCGTGAGAGTTGATAGAAAAAATATCCGTGTGTAAAGTTGTTACAAAGATTTTATATTCGGTAAATCTTATAAACAGTAAATTGGTATATCTGTTGAGTTGTATATTTGAAAAACCTTGAAATCATTAGAACCATGGGTTTAAACCCCTTTTCGTGAAGAGGTGTTGTAATTAAGGACTTAGAGAGCCGTTGAGAGTGGAAGTGTCGGATAGTCGGACTAGTGATAGTATTGTAATTCGAAAGTTTCAGCTTGAAAAGCCAACACGCCTTTGGATTCTAAAATATTATACTCATGGGACTTTCCGATTATTTTATTTGTGATCTTTCTGTTTCAGCAATTTTGGAAGCCCTTTTGGTTGTGTGCTTTGTGAGAGATTGAAATTCGAGTTTAGAATTCTGTGGAACCGACCAATCTAGTTGTTATGAATTTCGTCAAGTAAAGAGCGATGAATCTTTTCTAGTAATGATTATTGAAGAAACTTAGTTGAAATGTTATAATAGACCTTAATCGATAATCATTCTATTAAAAAGGCTTTGATTAAGTCAGGGTTCATGTGTCGTTGTAATAATGACAACGGATGAGCTATTCAAGAACGCTTATGCAGAACTCCCTTACCATCAAGTAAATTCGTCATGGTATTTAGTACTCTGCTTCAAAAGGAGTACGACTGCTTATCACCGAATCGACTCTTACAAAAAACAACAAAGGGTTGAATGCAAGTGAGAACGCATTCAGTTTGATAAGGGTTGTTAGAAAATTTAGAAATAATTCCATTTTTGGGGAATTAATTGTAGAATTGAGTCGTTGAGGTCGTAAGTTACCTCGAATTAGTATGAGTCACCTAAGGTTGGGAGGCAACCGTGACTCTATCGTTAGAGATTGTTCCAACAATGTTCAGTGTTTACGCTTGATGTTGATGTGACCTTTTGAATTGCTCTAAGTTGAGCTTTCAGAGCTATATGCCTTTATAACATATTTATTTGTAAACTACATATTTTTGAGTGTGTGGGTCATTCATTTGGGGTCATGTAGTTTAGACTGTAATGCATCATGCGAGTTAATATTTTGTTGGTGGTTGTGTGATTATTGTGAGGTTGGACTCCAGGACCCTCGTTTCCTGACTTTGAATTTTTCAAGTAGGCACTAGGAGGGTTGAGCCTGGAGGTGCTACCTTGGATACATGCACTAGGATCTCCGCCGCTTGAGGTGTTACCTTGGAGGTAGATACTAAGTGTGTCGGGCCTTGAGGTGTTACTTGTGAGAGTAGACACTAAGTTCAACCGGCTCTTGAGGTAAAACTTGTTAAAAAGTCATATGGACATTTGGGCTTTAAGTCGTGAAGTGTCGTGCGACAACGTTGTTCGAGTGACATAATTTTGTATTCCTGTCACTCTTAATGGATATGGGTCTCCCCCATTGCTGTTAACTGTTATTTTCGAAGTACTGTCTATGTTTTAATATTACTCGGCTTTTGGCGAGTAACAATAATGCATATGCAAATATACATTGTACAACTTGCATGGTCAAGATAAATGTTTTATGTGCGTTTAATTATTCAAACATGATGTGGATATAAAGTATGAGCATTCGATTTGAAATGTCGAAAATATTTTATAGACTTGTGGGCAGGGACGGACCCAGAATTCATTTCAAACGATGACACCATTTGACTATAAGGAAAAACTATAGATTAAAAATTTCAAACGGTGACACCATTTGACTAAGAAAATGACACTAACACGATTCAAACTTTGGGTCTGGGGTGGAATAAAAACCTTACAAACCAACTCTATCAAATAAAACTTGTTTTCATTGTAGTTTCAGATACATACGATGGTACACAACATATTAATACGATTGCACCTTTCACAAAAGAATAGTACGGTGACACGTACCATCGTATGCACCACTATAGGTCCGTCTATGCTTGTGGGTCATGGACGTTGGTATCAATGGTAGGAAACTGCAATGGCGTATGAAGCAATGCATGTTTTAAAGTACGTACCTTCACAATGAACGATGATGGAGGTAAACCAACACATATATCACGAGTGTAGTACTCCTGTACCTGGTAATATGATATTATCACTATAATGGTTAGCCCATGACGTACTTGACGTTGAGATCTCATAACATCCATGTTTTACATGCATGAGGTTTGAAGATGTAATTATTTGTCATATGTTACTTGAATTTATTTACGACGTTTTGTTCAAAATATGTTTTAGAAAAACCACAAACTCATTTACTTATTGGGTAAGGTTTTAGTCCATCAAAACAGAATGTATGTAACAATTTACCTGGTAAGCGCTAACCATGGTAAGAGTTGTTGTGACCACTTACCGGTAAGACTCTCGGTAGTTACCTTCGCTCTTACCAGGTAAGATTTTTGGTCCTTCTCAACTAAAAATAATAATATAAAATACTACAATTAAAGTGTCAATTTTGGAATGCATTTGGAGATGATTTAAGA